GCATTGAATTTATTTAATACACGAGTTTCACAATTTGAGTTGAATTACTGAAATAAACGAACTTTTCCACGACATTCTAATTTATTGAGATGCACCTGTACTGGTGGTACCGAGTACCCGGTCAACCCAGTTCTTGATGCGCTATCCGAAAGGTGCGCAGATGCGCTCTCTTCATAAAAGCACTGGGACATGGCGACCTCAAAAACTAACAAAACACTTTAAAGACAGACACCCGGATCAAATGAAAGAGTTCAAGCTGGGTTTCCCATACATTGATTTATTTGTGGCTGCCCGCCACAATATTAAAACTGACCGCCACAAATAGATTTTCCAAAAGGATTTGACTTCATTGAATAAACATGAGCACTGCACGTGTCAAAGTCGAAACCCGGTGCGGGTTTTTTTTATATCACTGTATTTCTGAAGGAAACCGACTGTCTTCAGAAAATTATGGATGTCATTTTCATTTCATCTTGCCTGTAATGCCTGAGCAGCGTTTGTGAGTGCAGTGCTTATTTGATTACAGCCGTTACCGAAACCTTGATCTCTCCCGCTCTACAAGCGCCTCCTGCTGGCAGAGAATGAATTTGCATATATATGCCGCCACAAATACAGTGCAAGTCTATGGGAAACACCGCTTCTGTTATGAATATTATTCAATATTTTAATTTGAATGTCGGATTGAAATGAACATCGCTGTTATTAGAGTAGTTAATCGTTAGCATAAGCGTGGCTAACGCTAATATAATGAGCATTAGAATGAAGTTTCTTTATTAACTATTTAATGCTCCTATAACTTTTATTAGGGTAAAAAAAAAAATTAGGACATGATGATATTTACTATTTTTACACACCAGAGGCTTTTAAATGAATTGTGAATCTAAAATATGCGTGTTAGAGAATGTACAAATGGCTAACATTGTTTGTCATATCAGTCAGAAAAGCAGTTCTGGGCTTTTTTTTTTAGCTAACTTAGTTGTTATTATTGGCTGAATAACTCTAGAATGTTTTAAAAGCCCTTTAAAATTAAATATGTACACAGTTTGGATTAAATGAAAGTATAGTCAAATTTTTTTATTAGCATGTTTTTGTGTTTTACTTTGGTACCGAGAACCGTGGATTTTCACTGGTATTGGTACCGAATACTCAAATTTTGGTACAACACTACAATATACTAAATATAGACAACTTAATTTTAATGAAAAATAATAAATAAAAAAAATATATAATCATAATCTATGACAAAACATACTATTATAAACTAGGTTAGTGGATAATTCAGCAGCAAAAGATACTCTAGTCTAGAAGAATCATGGGTGCACAATTATATAAAATCTAAACATTTAGTGAAATAACATTATTTAGTGGGGAACAAATAAAAGATAATAAGTGTATGACTAAATCTGGTCAAATGTTACACATTGCGCTTTGTATTGTTGTAAAATACATTCATGAAAAACAAGAAAATATATTTATTTATAAATATATACTGTAAGTTAAAATACATTTCTTTTAAATGTAAGTAATGAAGGCAGCAACATATGATAGATAAGAAAGAACAAGAAAGACTATTAATAATCTTTCTTTGCGCAAATTATTATAATATGAAAGGGTATGGCTCCAATACAGAGTGGCACAAAGCGCTTATGCGCATCCCGTGTGCAGAATGATGCGTTTGAAGCAACACGGAGTCACAGCGTGCAGCATAGAAAAGTTGAAAGCACAAAGGGAAGAGATATTTATGCGTAGAGTATTATATCAGTGAAATAGTTTGAGCAGTTTTAAATCTCAGTTATTGAGCGCTCTTGAAGAGGGTTTCATCGTTTTGACTGTCGTAAACCGAACGCAACACGCAGTTTGAATGCTGAATGGAGGATGAGAGACAGCTGCATCGGAGAGAAGAGTTTACGTGAACTTGAATTTAACAACTTAAATATTCATCTGCACCTCACTTTGAACTATGAAACAGCTTTAGAACATTTGAAATATAGTGCACGAAAACTTTATGGTGCTTTATAATGTTTTTGTGGCTTTCGTGGGGCTTAACAATAACACAGAATAGTATACTCACAATATCGGATTTGGATCGGTCTTGTCTGACCAATACCCGATCCGGCAGAAAATGCCAGTATCGGAGCTGACACCGATACTAAGTATCGGATCGATGCATCCCTATTGTATACTGCGTATATTTTTATAAAACTAGTATATGAAATAAGCTGCAGTGGTAAATGTCACTTGACCTCACGAGTCTTTGGCATGCTGTTGGCAGTATGCACTGTATATACTACCTACAATTAAAATAAACATATGAAACAGCCTTCAATGGTAAACATAACAAACAGTAGTATGTTAAATTGTCAACTAAACCTCACTAGTGTGTGATATACTATGAAGTATGTACTGTATACTGCCTGTGATTTTATAAAACCAGCATGCAAAACAGTCTTAATGGTAATCGTTACAAACAGTAGTATGCTACATTGTCATTTGATCTCACTAGTGTGCGGCATACTATGCAGTAAGTACTTTATATGCTTTATATACCTACGATTTTATATATATATCTCAAACAGTCTTCAGTTTTAAACTTTACAAACAGTAGTACGCTACATTGTCACTTGACATCACTAGTGTGCATCATACTATGCAGTATGTACTGTATACTGCCTGCGTTTTTCTAAAAATATGTAAAACTCTTCATTAGTAAACATTGCAAACAGTAGTACAATACACTGTCACTAATGTGCAGCATACTAAGTATGTACTGTATACTTTCATAAAAGTAGTATATGAAACGGACTGCAGTGATAAATACTACAAACAGTATGCTACATTTTTGCTTGAGCTCACTAGTGTACAGTAAAGTATGCAGTACGTTCTGTATACTGCCTAGGATTTTATAAAAAAATAGCATGAAATTGTCTTCAGTGGTAAACTTCACAGTAGTATGCTACATTGTTGCTTCTCCTCACTAGTGTGCGGAACACCATGCAGTATGTACTGTATGCTGCCTGTGATATTGTAAAAATGCCATGTTAAACAGTCATAGCCTAAATGGTAAACGTAAGAAATAGTAGTATACTACATTGTCACTTAAACTTCAATTGTGTGTGGCGTGCGATGCAGTATGTACTGAATACTTGTGTTTTTATAAAATACTATGTAAGTCCTGCAGTCCTGCAACAAACTTCACTAACTGTAGTACATCACATTGTCATTTAACATCTCTAGTGAATGGTGTAGTATGCAGTATGTACTATATACTGGTTACAGTTTAAGCATGCTTGTTCTCTTTAGAAAAACATTGAGTTAATCATTATCAAATCCATTAATTTTGCACCTGAATCGGTGGTGATATCATCTCTAGCATCTGTCCTGTTTTGTTGGTGGCATTTACTCTGCTAAACATGCTAACATCTGTCGTTAGTCTCTCACTGTCACAGACGTGATTGAGAACGTCTCCTTCCTCCCAGCTGTTCTGAGGTATCATACACACTGCTGTGTGTGTATTAAGTGTCAGTCGTTCATTAGCAGGTTTTAATAGATGAGGTGGATTTATTAAAGCTATTAGTAGACTCAGCGGTGGATCAACCTCATGCAGGCATATTGATTTAGACTACTGCTCTCTCTCTCCTGTTTTCCCTCACGGTATGGAGCTGCTAAAACAATATTTTCATGGCGTCAAAACCACAGCTTCCATTTGACCCTTAATAATATGAAATTTAATAGACCCTAGTCAGAGTAGACAAGCATATTTATTTTGTAGGAATGCAGAGTCGAATTCGCCATTTTAGTCTCTTTATGTTTTAAGCTTAAATTGTAGAAACCTCAGTTTTTTTATTGGAAAATTATATATTTATTAATTTATATATATATATATACCGCACTCGTTTGACTTGTGCCTGGCGCTGAAGTGAAGTTGGAGCGTGCATCTGAAATGTCTCGTTTGATGTGCTCGTAAAGACGTTCTTCGACTGAATAAATGCACTTCTTGTCAAGAGAAAAAGTGATAGAAACAGCAGTTGTGAGAGGGGTGGCCAACATATATATATATATTGTATATATACACTATACACGTTTCAATCAGCAACACATAGAACACAAAATATGATATATAAAAGAGTTAGTGTGTCATCTTACCAAATTAAAAAAATGCATCTCATTAATTTTTTATGCACTTTGGAAATTTCCAACCTGCAATTTTTATGCAATTTCCCAATATTTGCATAAAAGTACATGGATGGAAATGTAGCTAATGTGATTAAATACGGGGAATTTTTTTAGAGTTGTAGAACTCTACTATTTTTTTCTTCTAATAATTTCAATATTTCATTACATTTTTTTTATGGCTCATCTGGAAATTTATACAGTAAATGTGCATGTCTTCCTGATGAATAAAACATATATCTGCCTCAAGCGATCATATTCATTTTTTATATACACTTTGGAAATTCCCAACCAGCAAATTTTATGCAATTTCTCAGTGTTTGCATAAAAACACATGAATTGAAACCTGCAAACTGGGTTTCTGATACACATCTTGAGGCATTCATCAAATTCTCATTTTCATTCACGTCAAATTTATGTGCATTAAGGTCAATAAGAAACTCACAACCTTCTAAAGAGAAGAGAAGAAATAACCACACACAAAATTAAATTTCTCCCTCTCTTTATTTCCTCAGAGTTGGGTTCACTTTCCTGGGATGACCTGGAGAACGATCTTCCAGATGAGCTGATACCTAACGGAGACCTGGGGCTGATGTCCATGTCCTCTAACGGTGGGGCTACAGGTACAGGCAGTCATGGCCCCATGGTCCCCGACGCTGCTGCCAAGCACAAGCAGCTCTCCGAGCTTCTGCGGCCAGGAAGCAGCGCTGGGATGAACTCGGCCAGTCCGCAACCTGGCGGCATCGGACCTCAGCTGGGCGGGCTTGGAAAGAGTCCCATGGGCCAGGGCTCCCCTTCCCACCCCTCTCAAACACAGAAACCAGGCGGCACTCCTGGGACGCAGGGCAATAACGCTGGCTCAGCTGGCATGGGACTCGGCACGGGATTTAACCAGGCCATGCTGAACAGCAGCATGATGGGACAGAACGTGGGCGGACAGCCGGGTCAGGTGATCAATGGGACTCTCGGCTCTGTAGGCCGCGGTCGGGGAGCACCGGGGATGCAGTACCAGGGTGCTGGCATGCAGGTGGCACCTTCTGTAGGGGCGGGAGGAGCAGCGGGGGCGGCGGCACAGGGAGGAGCGGGGAGTGTCCTGGCAGAGACGCTCACACAGGGGGCACAGCAGATGGGCATCAACACCCAGCAAGCCGGCAATATCAACAAGGTGAGATGGCCAGTTTCCTTTGCTGTGGTTTCAGCCGTTTAGAATTCAGAGTTGTGAGAAGATTTGAGATGATGCGAATGAAAACGGTCCCTGATGAATATCCCTATTATCAATTCATGTATATTAATGCAAATTTTGACATATTGTATATAAACCCTGGTTGGAAACGGCATATTTTAAAACAAATTTTTTTTTAAATTGCACATAAAAAATGTATTCTGTAAGATGACATTTATATTTAACGTATAATTTCCTAGTTGTGCATCACAGAAATCATGTAACTTTACCTGAGGTCATGTCACTGAATTATTTGCCCAGATGACTTTCCAGAACATACTGACACAGTCATAAAGCATCTGCTGCTAATTGCTAGCAAGCATAAAGTTTGTCCGAGTGTTTTGTTTGCTCGCTATAAACCACAAATAATTTATTTATTAAAATAGCGGTGGTCACTTCATCAGTGGCTACAACTTCCATTTCTGTTTTTCTCTGACTTACCCAGAAATAACAGTTTTGTTCCCCATGGAATGGAAATGCTGCGTTATTTGCAAATATTTTTTTGCAATATTCTGCTTTTTTTCCATTTCAGTTTCTAGCCAGTATTTTTGTTATATTTATTTTCGTTGTTGTTGTTAACTAAAACCATTAAAATATTTTCCTCGGATATCGTCCTCTTTTGGAAGGCCAAACAAAGTAGTTTCGCTTTCACAACGAAACACACAGCGTCTTCACGACATGGCGGAAACAACAATACTACAGCCAGAATAAAAGTTACGCCTTCTTTCTTTGCGTGAACATTTGGGTGGCGTTATGCAAATCTTCCCACATCGTGACGTAGATATGTGGGGGCGTGTTAGAACGAGCCGTTTTAGGTAGCCGTGGTTGACTCTTAACTTTTATAAAGAATATCTCTTTGGATTTGAGACTTTAGTCTTTGCAACTTTACAGATCTTCTTTATGCACCAAGAGCTTGTAACACTCCAAAGAGAAAGGAAAAATTGAAATCGCATCATATGACCCCTTTAAGCCAAGCGCACACTGTGCGATGTTGGCCACAATTTGGTCAGCTGAGACAAAATTTTGAAAATCCTAAAAGATTCCTCCAATCCTTGGCTAAAATCTGTAGTCTTTGATCGTTAGTTTGACATGTTCACCGACAGCCGATTATTGGCCGTTGCGAACAAATTTTTACCTCTGACGAAATTCTGGCAGTGTCACAAGATTTGACGCACAGTCCTGCAGTGTGACTTCTACGACGAAAATCAAACTGTCTTCGTTTTTTAAAGACGAATTAAGCCACTCTGTGTAATATAAGTTATGACCGTTATGTTTTGTGAAATCTGTTTCATGTCTTTTTTCATCGCTCTAGTATTGCTGTGGAATCCGATCGGTGTGTAAATCAGGTCGTGTGTCCAGTTTGATCTGTCAGCGCAGCAGCAGATGGACTCACATTATCACTCTCTATCTGGAGCTGCGCTTTGCTGCCTCATTGTTTGATTGTATGACTCATTCCTGCACTTGTGTTTTTTATTAGGCTTAAATGCTTGTGTTACGAGAGCGGTTGCATGCCAGAACGCTCTTAAACTCTGCCATTTGTTTGAAGGACTGCCGATCACGCCAGCCGCAGAATTATGCTTGATGGGAAGGCAAATTAAAAGTTCTCAGCGTAAAGTGCCATGTTACATGCATACACATCTCATCTGTGCTCTATGCAAATTTGATGAACAAAACTCGGTTCTATGATAGATGGTTTAGTGACTGATGGGGTCTGAAAGCAGCACTCGGATGTCAGAAATGGCAGGTGTGTGCATTTGTATTATGAATTCAAATCCCTTTGCGCAAAGAGCTAGTAATTTATAGGGGGTTAAGGGCTGAAAAATGCTTAATTTTTCTTAAAAATTACTCATTACACCGCCCTGCATCATATTTGCTGAATGAAATCAAATACTTGTTTTTTTACTAACACATGCATTTTGATTATTACAATTTTATTAAAATTTCATTATCATGGAATTCAGGAAAAATTAAATATAGGACATGGAAACATATTTCATAGTGCCCTAAAAATGTAATTTTTTATTAAGCTTTTAATAAATTGTTGTTCGATTTGTAAACGTTTCATGATTTCAATTAATTAGACATGATTTTTGATTATTCAAATTTAATTTAGCCATTAAAATGGAGTCCAGAAAAGAAAAAAAATAAATGCAAGGCATGCAATTTGTTGAAAAATAAAATGGAACCTGGGAAAAATGAAACAGAATTTGGGAAAATATAAAACACATTTCATAGGGCCCTAAAAATGTATTTTTTGTTAAACTTTTAATGAATTGTTGTTTAATTGTCTAAGTTTCATGATTTCAAATAATTAGACATGCTTTACAATTACAAAAATTTGATTAAACCATTAAAATGTCCAGAAAAATGTAAAATAGGGAAAAATGGAATCCAGAAAAATTAAAACAAAACAAACAAACAAAAAATGGAATTTGGAACAAAATGAATTGGATTTTGGGAACTTTGGGGGGGAAAAAGTGTTTATGTAAAGTTTTTTTTACATTAAATTGAGTATTTGAACATATTTTTTCCAATACTTTGAAGACTGTTAAATTATACTATTTATACTATTTAAATTATAAATTATAATAATATAATATTATAATTTAAATTATACTATTTTAAGTACTATTTTTTGCTGAAATTTTTGACATTTGAGTTGCTTCTGTTATTTTGATAAGTGCATTAAAGCTGATATATATATATATATATATATTATTTGAAAATTCTTCATTCTTATTTTGCTGATCATAGTCGTAGCTGGAAGCTGGTGTTGTCAGAT